CTCGTTAGATGTTTCTACCTGGATTGTTGAGCATGCATCAGGACAAATCAAGTCTTGTTTCTATCCTTCGATCTTCTCCTTGAATTAGAGATATAAAAAAAAATGCTTTGAAATGTTCTGATGCCTTCAGCTTCAGAATTCCCCTCATGTGAGAAAGCTCATCTTACTAAATAAATTAATATATTTGAAACGTCAAACTGTGCCCTTGTTCAGACCTGTACCAACAGCAGAGACTACATTTCTTCAGGTTTGATCTGTGTCATCCCACATTTTTCTTTTATTTGTACATAATATTTTCAGCTTGTGTGTTTATAGTGTCAGCTTCACATCTGCTTTATGTCCCTGACTTACTGGATGAGTGCACATGTATAGGTGAAAACCATGACTTTAGTATTTTAGCATCTGAAATAAAATAAACATTTGTACTATAGTACATAAAAATACATTCTTGTACATACTGTACAACCAAATCTTCGGAAAAAGTTGGTAAGTTGTGTAAAACATATTTAAAATGAAAAAAATAAGGAACTTTTTGAAAATCTCATGCTGATACTTCCACATTGTAACATAATTAACATACAAAATGTTCCCATCCATCCATCATCTTTACCTGCTTCTTTCTTTTCGGGTCACGGGGGTCACTGGTGCCCATATCCAGAGGTCATTGTGCGAGAGGCGGGGGACACCCTGGACAGGTCTCCAGTCCATCACAGGGACACATAGAGACAAACAAGACAAACACCTATGGACAATTTAGAGTTACCAATCAGACTAACATGCATGTTTTTGGTCTGTGAGAGGAAACTGGAGTGCACGGAGAAAACCCACGCATGCACAGAGAGAACATGCAAACACCACCCAGAAACGTCCCTGGCCGGGATGCGATCCATCGACCTTCTTGCTGAGAGGCGGCAGCTCTACCAACTGCACCACCGTGCTGCTACAAAATGCTTAAACCAGGAATTTTTTAAAATTATTTTTAAAGAAAATAAAACAAGATCATTTTAAGTTTTATGGCAGCAATATATATACATACATACAT